TGTGGTGTGACATGCCGTGACAGGATACTCTGCGACAATAATCAGAGGTTGATAATTTCGCATCGACCAATTCTTCGTCTTGAAACCAAAACGGTATGAAAGAATTGTTTCACAATGCTTCGCATGAACAAGGCGTGAGTCTTTTTCATGTTCAACTCTTGTTATTAGTTATTTCTCTCCTTTGTCTTTATGGTGAACTTTCCTTACATAATCTTTGATTCATTCATTTCGAAATCTTCCATTTCATCAAACCATCATTTAATTAACCATTAACCTAAATAAGAAACGTGACCAAAATTTTATTTTCTTTTGCGAACTTTACACTCATTGGATCAAATTTCACTCAGAATTAAAGTTGCAACTGTGTCGCTTCTTTTAACTATTGGCAAATCTTTTCATTTTACCAAGATCATTAAAAATCATAAACACTGGGCAAACTTGTTGGTTTACTTTCGAATAGTTTGCTTGTTTCTATTTTTGATTGATGATTGTTTACTCTGTACTGTGGTAGAAGCATAGGAACTGGGCTACGAGCACTTTTTTCAATATTTTTGACTCCTTAAAATTAAGTAATAAATTGGATTTTGAAAAATGAGCCCATTTATTGAATTTTGAGAAACTAACTTACTTATTGAATTTTGAAAAGTAAGTTTGGCAAGAAAAAATATATTCATAGATCATTTCATGAAATGTTTTCATTAAAAATTTTGCCATCGTTTCTTTTCATAAAAACTTTTCATTAAATGTTTTTCCTTTTAGTTTTCTGTTCATTTCTGTGATCATAGAAGTTTATTCTCTAAAGATTATATATAAATTATGAATCAGCAACAATTCTTTCAAAAGACTGTGCTCTGTAACAATAAAATATGATTGAAAAGTCATTGGAATTCATAATGTTCATTTGCATAACTTCTGATTTCATCTAATATAAAACATTTTATCTTTAAACCATGGTAATCTATTTCATAGCTGTTCTCATTTTGAAATATTTGTTTTTTTTTAGATCATAATTACCTTTTGAAATCCTATTTAACTTCACTCATTAATTTTTTTTTCACGTTTCCTGTTATGTTGCTATAACTATTATTGTTAGTATCATTGTTTTTGTTAAATATCTATGTCGAGATATTTTAATATTCCCATTCTATATAAGTATGTTATGTGACCTATATATATTCATAAAAAATCTTTTTAACATTTTCCTCTTTATTCAAAAATAGAAATTCACAAAGTTTCAAAACATCGAATAAAAAATGAATCAATCAGATCTTTAGCACCTAGAATCAAATGGTTTTTAAAACCATCGAAGGAAAAAAAGAAGAAAAAAAGAATGAAGATATTGTTAATTATAATTTGAACGGCAATATGGAGCCTTTATCATCAAAACCCAATTTCAAAACTGGTGATCTGAAAGTGCTGGTTTGTTTTAGGGGTGACATTTGTATTCTTTCTCCAACTTATGGCGTCCCCGAGTAGACTGGACAGCAGAGCCCTTCACAGTTTCGTATTTCTCGACATTTAACAGCTAATTAGCTGGCTAATATAAATCGAAACCTTCAGACTTGTCTTCATTTTAATGACTAAAATCTACGTCTTTCACCTAGCAGGTATATTCTACGGATGAAAAACACGAACAAGGAAAGCTGTCTCTCCAGAAGAGAAGTGTTTATTCAAACCCTTTGATGGGTAAGAAGCAAGCAAGGATAAAACAGATTTAGGTCACTCGACATAAATTACACGCGCAATTGTCTAACCTCACCCTTTTCGTGGGTTTAGAATCTTCAGATTAGTTTCTCATGGCTCTTTACCAAGACATCTTGCTAGAATGCATTATTCATTTGAGATACAGAGCATAAGAGCATTGCTTAGCCAAAAAATTTTGAAGCAACTTACTTTTTATGCTGATTAAGTCGCTAACATGCACAAAAGCGTGCAGGTGCACATGTAGTGTTGTATATCATTTTTCTGTTCAAAGCAAAGCAATCCTTTTCATTTACATTGTTTATTGTCTTTGTCTGATTCTTTGCTTTTTGTTTTTGTTTTCAGTTTACCGCTGTTCTCTTCCTCTTGGTTTGGAAAACGGTCATGTACCAGACGCCGCATTTTCTGCTTCTTCAAGTGCAAACAGCAAACATGGTCCAGCACGTTCCAGATTGAACATACAGTCAAACAGTAAAGGGTACGGAGCCTGGTCAGCGGGTGCTAATAATGGCAAACAGTGGCTTCAGATAGACTTCGGGGAACTGGTGCGAGTGACCAAGGTGGCAACGCAGGGGCGTCAAGACTCAGGCCAGTGGGTAACGAAGTACACTCTGTCCTATAGTGTAGATGGGATGCACTGGGCCGAGTATAAAGAAAAGAGTGTCACATGGGTAAGTTAAAATCTCGTTAAAAATAGTTCACGTAGATTTACCGGTTGATACGACAGAAGTTTTGGCTGCTTTTTCTCATGGTTGAGCAGCCCAAAGAACTGCCAGGGTTTTGCTTTAAAAAAAATTTAAAAAAGGATGGGTTCTAAGTAGTTTTAGTTAAACGTAGTTACGAGTGCATCTAGCCTTTACTTTGATCCACTGCTCAAATTTATCGCACATTATACAGACGCTTTGTGATTCCAGTTGCATCCTCTCCAAGCTAGAAATTTTCGTCGAAATGTAAAATCTGTCAATCGATAAAATAACTCCTGTACCAATATGAAACGTGATTAAAGTATGGGTCAATGAATCAAAATAATTAGAGTTTGACCGTCTGAAACTGTTTACATTTTACAGACATAAGATACAGAGTATACCCACAGCCAAAGTAATAGAAATGATTTTTTTCTCATACTTTATTTCCGCGAAAGGGCTGAGTGAAAGTTTGAGAATCTTTTGGATTTCCCAGGTATTTCCAGCTAACAAGGACAGAAATACAGTTGTGGAGCATCTTCTTCTCTCGCCATTTGATGCTCGCCTTATCCGATTTCACCCAAAGACCTACCATGGATACACATCTATGCGAGCAGAGGTTTATGGCTGTAGGAAGGGTGGGTGTTGAAAATTTTTAAAACTTGTGGGTTCTTGTTTCAGACGTTTTAGTTGGCCTAAAAAAACTACAGATGTACTCCTTATTGTCTTGTTGTTACAAATTGAGTTACGAGAGAGTATTAAAACCAGCAACAAGTCTTATGATTCATGGCATCCTTGCAACGTTTTGCGACATGTCGCGGGGACAAAATATCCCCCAAATTGGTGTTGCACAATTATAAAAGTATCAGTTCACACGAAGGGACATGCCGCTACAACACATTACTGGGACACGTACACGCATCATTTTTATGTGTGTGAAATGTTGTGAGTTTGTCACTGCTACATGTTCCCGCTACACGTCCCTGCAACATGTTGCCTGAGCGTGTACTACACAAGTTTTGTCGCTGCAAGATGTTCCTGCAACTTGACCCCTTGTGTTTTCCCACCTTAAGACTTCATTCGCAAACTTTCGATCTCGTCCCCTAACGAAGAGTAGCAATATGGCGGTCCAAACGTCACGATCAATACACGATTTATTAGCCTGACATTTGCATCGTGAGACAAACGATAAAAAGTTCGTTGAAGTTTAAGATGATTTAAGATTAAGTGTTAATGCTGCAGGAGTCGGTTTGATTTAGTTCCGCTCCCATTTTTATCCAATGTTATATCAGGAGCGTTTCGATGAGTTGGTTTTAGAAACTTGCATTTACATTTTTTTAATTTTTATAAAATTTTAGACTATGTATTTTACCCAGTCGTTCAACATTGGAATAATACTAATAATAATTATAGTATTAATGAATATGATACAACTTTATTTGAAGGGGTGGTAGAATTTCAACTGAGGATCAAGTGGCCCTTTCAAATAGTTATTACTTATTCATTACTGATGTTTTATTGTATTTTTATCACAGGCAAGCAACAAACGCCTTATTAATTAATATTCTTAGTTCACAGCTGCTCCGTACCACTGGGTGTGGAGGATGAACGGATTCCTGACAGTGCATTTACTGCGTCAGGTAGCTATGACAATAGGCACCGGCCCTCACTTGCGAGACTGAACCTCTTATCGGATGGCAAGCACGTGGGAGCCTGGTGCCCCAAGCTAAAGAGCCGCAACCAATGGCTTCAAATAGACTTGGGAGAAATTACCGCAGTGACCAAAGTGGCAACTCAAGGCCGATATAACAGTGAAGACAGAACTAGAACATACACTCTTTCATACAGTGTGGACGGACTACATTGGACGAGTTACAAACAACGTGCTGTGGAGAAAGTAAGCTCGACTGACTCAGCAAGAGATGGAACGCCTCTAATTATTACTATTATTGAAATACGAGGGCTTTGCGAATCAATATTAGCTTTATATTAACTCTATGAGTTGTTTAATGCAGTCGAAAACGGCTAATAAGTCAATTGTGTACTTACCATAAACATGACATTTTTTTAACTCGAGTGAGTTCAATGTTATTTTCTTGTTACCTCAGGTGTTCGCAGGAAATACGGACAGAAACACTGCCATCATACACTCCCTAAAACCTCACATCGAGGCTCGCTGCATCCGGTTTCATCCAAGGGCACACAATCATAACATACCTTGCCTAAGAGTTGAGTTGTATGGGTGTCGTAAAGGTGAGTTCAGTGGATATGCCAAAACAACACATTTGATTAAACTGGTCATATTCCGGCTACAATTCGACTCGTCTTGGTCTAAAGAGTCATCTACTTTGTCAACTGCTGACACTTTTCAAATAAGGGCTTCTCGACACCTGAGTTTTTAAGGAATGTTGTGTGTGGCTTAGTGATCGACTTAAATGGAAGCAAAGCAATGAAACTTTAATGAATTTGGCTTAACGCAAAACTTCGTCGCCTAATGATCACCTTGTTCCGATCAGCTTGGTCAGCTTTGGTCAGCTACGCGTGCAAAGTGCACATACCAAGGCTTGAGTGGATTGAGCTACCAAAGGATCTATTGCGACTTCTGGAAATTACTTCTCTCCGTTCCTGCGGCAAATCAGTTTATTGCATAACTATTTCTTTAGTTTTTGTTAGCTTTCTTCAAATGGTTTAGTACACTTGCTTCTTATAGTGTTATTCGCTTTTCACAGTTAAGAACTGTCTTATGGCTGTGGGAGTGGAAGACGGAAGAATTCCTGATGAAGCATTTACAGCTTCATCTTCAGCCAGTGGTAGATACCTTCCAAACAGAGGTAGACTCAACTTACCACCAAGTGGAGGGAAGTATTGTTGGGCAGCTGGACAGAATAATGCTAATCAGTGGCTACAGGTATGTGAAAAGTCATGATACTCTACAAAAATTTTCATGAATTGATAGATATAAAATAAATAACATGAACTGTGGTAGTTAAATGATGAGGTACTGAAATCATACAGACGATGAAAGTTGAGCTTGAGCTTGGTTTTCAACCCGAGTCTGAGCTGAAAAGCAGTTGACTTTGGTAGCTGATCGACGTAGGCTCACTGAACCTACGTTGATCAGCGATGGTGATGAAATAAAATTTCATGTAAAAGAACGTCACCATGTTAATAACATAAATAGGAGAAGCAACATACGAAGTTTCTTTCTCCTAATTCTCACATTGAGCTGTCACTGGTTTTTCTTTTTCGCTTGCATCATTTCTCTCCATCCACATTATAAAAGGTTTCTAGTAATTATAGGTATTATAGAGGGTCATTAAAAAACGCACGAGACAAAAAGAAGAAAATACAGTACAAAATAAAGTAGGATTGAGAAGTGCAATTAATGAAGCTCATTGGTTTATTATGAATAATAGTCGCACAAAGCAAAAAAAAACAACAACAACAATAACAACACATATGCACGCACACAACGTACGCATATAATTTATGATGAATAAAATCAAGTAAGATGTTTAATATTGAGCAAAACAATATTTATACAGTGCGTTGTTAAAAAATTTTGGAAGAAAGTTTAAGAATGTGAAAAGAGAAGTCGTTCCAACAGAATTTCCCAGTGGGGCCAAACTTCCTTATGTTCGCTCTAAAGAAAGTGAACAATCCATAATTTCTTAGAAATCAGAGTTCTCTCTTAGGGTGAATTCCTTTATAATAACATACATGCAAAAAATTCAGCATGCTCATTGGCCGAGAACATGTCATTTTATCCCAAACAGTACAGAAAGTTGAAGTTGCATGCAGAAAGTTGTAATTAAATTAATTGACAGTTAAGTTGCTTCTGCCGACCGATATATACCTAACAGAGAAAGAATATAAACGCTCAGTTATTCTCGACAAGCAGGGAATAAATCTATCAAAGACTCTAAATTGCACTCGCAGTACGGGTTTGGGAAATTTGGTTAGCCTTTAAAAAATTTACTTGTGCTGATTTATCCTAAATTGCACTCGAAATCATGCAATTACATGTACAAATTTCTTTCAGAACGATATAGAGTTGCACACATCAGCTACACGAGAGGTGAAATCAAAAAATAACATACGAGCGCCCTCTTCCTTGTACCATGCTTCGCGGTATTTCAACATGGGATTCACATGGAGTAGACTTTAATACTACTCCATACACGATATCGGCTCAGATTTTCGGAATCAACGATAAAGAAGCGTTTTTGATGAAAATGCTTCTGCTTTTTTCAGGTAAATCTTGGACGTCTGTTCAACGTACGAGGCGTGGCCACTCAGGGTCGACACGATGCCAATCAATGGGTGACAAGCTTTTCATTGTCTTACACTGCAGATGACTTTACGTGGGTTTTTATCAAGGAAAACAGCCAAGTGAAGGTAATCAGAAAACGCACATAATTAGGTCTTCTACTCTGGTCTTGTATCTCCTTTTTAATTTCCCCTTAGTAATATTCAAATAACCCTTCCACGTCAAGTTGTGTTAACATTGGCTTCCGTTGGACCCTCAATTTCAGAAATTTTGATTATGTGCTCAATTATTGTTGTGTAACTGTTTGATTTTGTTGACTCTTAGAATTTTTTCTTGATTCTTACACTAAATTATTATTAACATTTTTATCGTTATCATTATTGATATTTTGTTGTACAATGTTAAAAGGTAAATCCCCAACATCACAACATCTTTTACATAGCTCAAAATATAGCTACTCTTCAAGCTAAAATTGACGATGCATGCAGTCAAATCAGGGCTTGAAAACTTAAAATGTAGCCGCTACATTGTATGTATTCTTTGCGGGAAGAAAGAGAAACCCAAAGATAAACATCGGGAAAAATTGCCTGTCGGGAAGTAGACCAACGATACCCCGCAGTTAAAATGTAACTGCACGCCTCATGCTATGTGTGCACGGCCGTGCGTGTTGTTTGTTTGTCATCAACCGGGAGGTTTGTATAAGAAAAACCGTACCCGAGGTTTTGATTATGGCCTGAAGAGGCAGGCCAACTTATACTCAAGAACTAAAGCACAATTTTTCCCATTGTGGCCCGGCATAGACCGGTGAATAATGTACAAGTTTTTTTCCTTCAGTTGACTGGATTATAAACCTATTTTGCTCTCATAATCGTGTCACAAATTTAGATTGTGTGCCGTCTGCTCGGAATGACTGAGTTATCGACTTATCGCCTTTATTTGTAGACATTTCTGGCAAATAGCGACAGGACAACAGTTGTCAAACATGTCTTCAGCCTGCATATCAGGCTATTGGCCAGAAGCGTTCGTTTCCATCCAAAAGGTTGGCAAAGCCACATCTCTATGCGAGTGGAGATTTATGGTTGCAAAGAAGGTAAGTAAGTGATTTTAGGCATCATTATATTTCAAGTTGACGAATCCATTCCCCGCCCCGTAAATGATCAGGTGCTCGATATTAGAGCAAAGTTCCCTATCTGAGTGTTTAAGCATTTTTTATAAGCTATTATGGCGTGCGAGAGATAATTTGTTTGCGTTCAAATTAGCGCAGAAAGATTTACGATTTTATCGACTTCCAACAATTTATGAATAAGTGAACAAAAAAAATTTTCCAATATGCGACCTTTTCTCATGTCTTTTAAAGCCTGCAAAGCAAATTTGAAAACGTATCTTACTGCATAGTGCAAAATTTCACATAATTTTTTTGCATTACTGTGGAAGTTTGATCACGATGACATAAGGTCAACATGCTAAACAAACCCTGCAAGGTTTGAGCCCAGATTGAAATAAAGGAAATAAGATTAGGGAACTCTTGTAATGAAAACGACAGCTTTGATTGATTGGAGGTAGAGATCAAGTGTGGTGTATACCTCGTATAGAGTTCTATGGCTATTAAAATACTTGATTTCGCTGGCAGTATTACCTTCAAGGTAAATCGTTTGAGTAAAAAAAGCATGTATTTGCTTTAGCTTTCGCCGTGTGAATTAGCTCGAGGATTTCATAAAATCATAAAAATTTGCATTTGATGTGCTGGAATTTTTTACTGATTTATATGATCAAACAGATCGCAGTTGCTTTCTTCCTCTTGGTATGGAAAGTGGCCATCTTCCCGACAGCGCAATATCAGCATCGACGTATCATAACTCCAAATACATCCCGCAGCTCTCGAGACTCAATAACATCCCCAGTTCAGGTAAAGCAGGAGTCTGGTGCACACGTACAAACAATGGCAACGAATGGTTGCAGGTCAACTTTGGGCGGGAAACAACTGTGACTAAAGTGGCCACCCAGGGGATGTATAAACACAATAATTGGATAACGAGCTACAGTTTGTCGTACAGCGTAGATGGCTCTCACTGGGCCTGGTACAGACTCTCGGATGGACATATCAAGGTAAGAGAAATAGGTTTCATGGACGAACTTTATTTGTGGTAATAGTCAGTCTATAAAAATTATTGAGGTCTGTCACCCATCGTGAACATGGTAGCCTTAAAACCAAATCTGTGTTTGCGCCGAGAGAAAGAATATAGAATACCGAAAATAAATAAAACGGTTTTGTTTGTTTGTTTTTTTGTTTTTAAGAAAGACGGGAACTGATATTTACTAGTTTATATATTATCATACATGACAGGTGTTTGGTGGTAACATCGACCGCCACACTCCAGTTTATC